TCCAGGGACTTGCACTGCCGAGCTTCGCAGGTGAGAGGGGAGTAGGAAGATGAGGAAGCCGGCTCGAAAATTGGGTCGGTTTGCTGGTAGCATTCTGCGCAGGGTGCACATTGAAGCCAGTTGACATCACTGCCGGAGTCAATAACCATGTACACTTGACTCGGCGGTTTGCCGATTGCGACTCGGGAAAAATACTCCCCACTTCCTTCACTCGAACCCGACACAAGAGGAGTTTCCAGATCCTCAGCTTTAAACTCAGAGCCTTTATCAAGGGGCTTAAGCTCTGACTTGGTAATGCCGTTAACAGCCAGATCTAAACGAATAGTGAGGGATCTGACACGGGCTGAGTCGCGCTCCAGTCGGGACATAACCAGTGACTTGTAGTCACTGTGTTTGTTTTTCTGAACAGAGATTCTAGGATGAAGCTGCAGCGAAAGCGTCGATGCAGATGAAGACGAACCTGCAGAGGATGAAACACTCCGCTCCTCTTGGCTAAATGCCGGCACCGCCGTTTTGGGGTCAAACGAGACGACCTCTTTAGCCTTCTGGAGAGTTGCAGTGACGTCTAGAACAGTTGTTTTGGAGAACGGCAGCAAGCTTCGAGACTCAACCAATGGAGAGGTTGAGAAGAAAGAAACCAGAACAATAATGCAGGAGAGGAGCCCCATTTTTACTGTGGAGGGGCTTGGTATTGGAGACTTGCTTGAATGAGAGAATGGAGAGGTCTCTGGGTGGGTTTTATAGAAGGAGATAATAGAGAAAGGAAACAGTAGTACAAGAAAGAAGGTGCACTACAAGGGCAGCATTATCTTTGCGTGATACTAGTGACTACTATTAATTTTGAGGATTTAAGGCCTTTAAATTGGGGCATATGTTGATTTTGGTTGTCTGTAATCTTTTGACCATTTTGTTTTTTATGAGCTGATTGCTTTGGATCGTTAGACCACAATTTTTGGAAGGTGTTGACGTTATCCAAGGCTACACACCTTCTTTCTTTTTTTTCTTTCTTTCTTCTTCTTCTTCTTCTTGTGGCTTTTTTTTTTTTTTTTTTTATTTACAATTGGGGTGGGGATTCGAATCCCAACTCTTAATTTGAAAGATATACTTTATAAATTAATTTATAATTATTAAAT